TGAATATGGGGCCTTCTCCGTGTAAAGCATATGTGGTATCACAAAGCTATGGTGTTTATTAGACATGAAACTGGGCACTATGCCCCAGGATTCTTACTAGAAGAATAGGATATTCCAAGTACCCTTTAAGCATCTGTTCCCAAACAAAAGAAAAGTTTTTGAAAGAAAATCAAATGCTTTCATTAAACAAATCATGCTCTTGGTGTTTCCTTCTAGTCCCAGGTTATGCTAATCTTTCAAGCTACCACCGCCTGATCATAATATGACCAAAGCAAATACTCTACTCCCAACCTTTGGGCCTCCAGGTGTCTTGGAATTGGAAATGGTGCTCCATGCAGTCATGACAGCCACATGACATAGGAGGTGTCTACGGACAATATAGGCTTTTTGGCTTGGAAATGGGGATGAGCACTATCCCCCAGAGCCAGAGATGAGCACTACCTCCAAGAATGAGAAGGGGAAACTTTTACCTTTATCTGTGTTATGGTTGTTTCTAAGCATTGAATGTTTGCCTTGTGTTTGCATGTGCTGGAATCCACCCTGTGTCCCCTCAGGGAGATAGGGTGGAATACAAATTATTATTATTATTATTATTATTATTATTATTATTATTATTATTATTACTACTACTACTACTACTACTACTACTTCCACTCCCAGAACTCCTAACCAATTGTCAAGATGGCTGAAGCCCTGGGAGGTGAGGTTCAAAACCCCTGGAAGATTAAAGTTTGGGAACCACTGCTCTAGAGAGAAAGCTCATACAACAATATATGTCATGTCTTGCCCAAAGCTGTTCCATAGATGTAACATATTCACCTGATTTTTTTGGATTTTTAAAACTTTTCGTCTGCTGTTGTTAATCGCCTTGAGCACCAGATGGTAGAAAGATTGAGTAGAAATTTAACAAGTTAACTCTTTATCGTGAAATCTGAATCCTACATTTCTTCCAGGATCAAGATGACTTCCAAAAGAAAAGAAAAATCCATTGAAAGCAGAATAAGTTTTTCCTTCCATTCTAAGACATGCAGTTTTCCCCAGGTAAACATCTCTAAATAGCGTGTATCTTAGAATTGTGGGTACACACACACATATATAGGGGCTTTTTTCTGTTGGTAGTACTGAAATTAGTGTGCATCTTAGAATCAAAGAAATACAGTATTAAAAGATTGACTATAATGTTAAAACAGGCCCCCCAGTGGCACAAAGGGTTCAACCCTTGTGCTGGCAGGACTGCTGACTAATAGATGAGAGCTGGTTGAGCTCCCTCTGTCAGCTCCAGCTCCCCATGTGAGGACATAAGAGAAGCCTCCCAAAAGGATGGTAAAACATCAAACATCCAGGCATCTCCTGGGCAATGTCCTTGTAGATGGCCAATTCTCTCACACCAGAAGCAACTTACAGTTTCTCAAGTCGCTCTTGACATGAAAAAAATATTAAAACAAAATAAAGTTAAAATAATTTAATCTCTTTTCAACACAACACATTCAAAACTTAATAACAACATCAATTAAGAGATAAATAAGAACATCTACTTGAAACCTGAATGAGTGTGTCTTAATCTACAGAATCAGCAGGAATTATTCTTTGTTAAGTGCATAAAGGACAATGATGTTAAGCTTTTTTGCAGATGAATTCAGTGGGATAAAAAGAATACTGGGATAAAGTATAGTATTTGCAATATGTATACATACAGACCTCAGACTAATTAAATCAGAGAGCCACAAGTTTTCAGCTGCTACTCTATGCCATTATGGCTCTCATGAATTCAGGCAAACACCTGAACACAGCTAAATTGAACTTTGGAAGTAGGTTTAATCTTGCTTTCTTTGAAACACTTAAAGCAATTCAAACTTTGGTTCAGTAAACAGTCAGACTATTCTAGAGGCGTAAAATTTCTTCAAGATAAAATGTTCCAAGTGCACAACAGGCTTCAAGTACAAAAGTTCAGTGGTAATTTTTACTCAAAACTGATACACACAAAACCACCATATTGATCTATAATTCTGTGATCTATAAAGGAAGCAGATAAAATGGACAGGATCAAGTGATGAGAAAAAAAGTCAGCCGGTTAGGAGAAATGCTAGTCTTAAACATGAAGGAATGTGTGCACCCATGCCTAATATTTGGGTCAATAATGTACAATGCCAGGCACTGAAGTGATCTATAAATAAGGCAACAGCCAACTTTCTGCTTCATTTCAAAATATAGGTCAATATCCACTCGAGAAGAATGGGTTTGGTTTCTTTTACAAGAGAGATAAGGGGTGGTGGTATCACATACCAGTTATGTGTCAGCTTGCTGCACATAACTGATATCAATAGTGGGGTTTGCATACACAGATTAACAATGGCAGCTTCCTAGTGGGAAGACAATTCTGGCTGTTACTTTTGCCTGAAAAAACAAATAAACAGATAAGTAAAGCTACATATTAACAATTTTTGCAAGTCCACAAAATCCAGTACTTCACCTCTTTCTCATTTGTTTTAACCTACTTCAACATGACTTATTTACAGGCACCGGATCTCACTTTTCAACCAACCACCATCAACTTTTCAATCAAGGAGACAGGGCTACCATTTATATTATTGTTATATTATTAAATATTATTATATTTTATTAACTGCTCAGAGAGCTTTTCCAGCTGTATAGTATAATAAAAAGACTATCAATCAACAAATCAGCTTTTGTAACATACCCATGTTGCAAATATTGAGAAAATATTCAGCAAATGTACATAAAGGTTAAATCTAATAGCTTATGTTCTTAGAATGTAGGCCGCATAATTATTATTGTTGGATTGCTCACATAACTCTCATCCCTGAGTGAGCAGTCTGAATTACTAACACATTTCCACACAGCTTGGGAAAGCTACATTTTGGATGACTACAACTCTTAGCCAGGAGGGGACTCTGTGGCTTGCAGTTCCAAAAAAGTAACTCCCCAAAGCTCTCGATACTCATCTCAGAGCTACAGTAAATTGATAAAAGGAGTGAAAAGTCAGTATTGTAGGGGTTCATCTGCACTACAGAATTAAAGCAGTCTGACTCCACTTTAGCTGCCATGGTTCAATGTTATGGAATCCTGGGAATTGTAGATTTACATGGTCTTTAGCCTTCTTTGCCAAAGCTGGTGCCCCACAATGCTACAAATCCCAGGATTCCATAGCACAGAGCTGTAGCAATTAAAGTAGCATGAAACTGCATTCATTCCACAGTGCAGACCATTGGTCAAGTCAGAAAACAGGTGGGAAATAACTGGAAATTGGAAGGTGGCTGCAAAGGATTATGATGTTTTTCCCTGTGTGTGGAACTGCTTAAGAGAGCAATTCTACCATATGGAGTCAAACATAAATCCCACTGTTTGTAATGCCTCCTCCTCTGCAGACATGCACCAGGCTGCAACCTATAATACAGTTCCTGGGCCTTTCCCTGACACTGGTATCAATAAAAAATATATGCACCCGTGACATCTTATAATACTGGAAGGATTGGGTGATTTGGGAGGGGGGGGGGTGGGATTAGATTTTTTTTAAAAGGTTTTCCTCCTCAAGCAGCAGGTTAAAAAGCTGAGCTGCTGAACTTGCAGACTGAAAAATTGATGATTCAAATCCAGGGAGCAGGGTGAGCTCTCGCTGATAGCTTCTGCTAGGTTAGCAGAAGTAAATCAATAGGTACCACTTCGGTGGGAAGGTAATAGTGCTCTATGCAGTCATGCTGACCACATGACCTTGGTAGCATCTATGGACAACGCCGACTCTTTAGCTTAGAAGTGGACATGAGCACCACCTTGCAGAGTCCGAAATGACTAGACTTAATGTCAAGGGGACACCTTTACCTTTCTACTAGGACTAAAATGTGGTGAAATTACATTACAATTCTCAAGGGGAGACTCAGAGCGGCTAACACTGGCAACAATTTGATGCCACAAATATCACAATAAACGACAATATAAAACCATAAATATACAATAAATTTAAACAATAGCATTAGTTATATAATCATATAGATGTTTCCATTATTATAACAATTATATGGCCTAGTAGTTCAATGTCCAAAGTGCCAAAGGCCTGGTTCCACAACCATGATTTCAGTTCTTTCCTAAAGGAAAGGAGAGAGGATGCCGATCTAATCTCGCTGGGGAGCGAGTTCCACAAGTGGGGGGTCACCACCGAGAAGGTCCTGTCCCTCGTCCCCACCAGACGCATTTGCGAGTCTGGCAGGACCAAGAGCAGGAGCTCCCTGGTGGATCTTACGAGGCGGAACGTAGAGGGAGATACTTCAGACAAGTAAGCTGGGCTGGAGCCGTATAGCTGGGCTGGAGCCTTCCCACTGTTTTTAATTGTGTTGTCTTATTGATAATGTTGTATATTTTATTGTCTATGTTTTTAATTGCTTGTATTGTTGTGTTTGGGATCGGCCTCACGAAAGCCGCACCAAGTCCCTTGGGGAGATGGTAGCGGGGTACAAATAAAGTGTTATTACTATTATTGTAGGGCTAAAACATATCCAAGATCTCTCATTACTGCAAAAATCTGAACATATCCAAAATGCAAAACAATTCTGATTCAAGAATTTGTAACTCTGATATTATATCATTCATTCTACAGTATGTATTGACTTAAATATGGATTATATGAATTATATCCATTGTTGAGTTCCCTATATGAAAGGGGAAAGGAAGATAAATAAATAAAATATTTAGACAGCCTGCTAAATAGATACTGCTAAAGCAGGCATGGGCAAACTTGAGCCCTCCAGGTGTTTTGGACTTCAACTCCCACAATTCCTAACAGCCGGTAGGCTGTTAGGAATTGTGGGAGTTGAAGTCCAAAACACCTGGAGGGCCCAAGCTTGCCCATGCCTGTGCTAAGGAGTGTGTTCAAAGAGGCTGGCCAGTATAGTCCCTGCTCTATTAGAGGTTTCCCCCCCTTCCTTAGCTGATCTTCCTCTGTTCCTCCTTCCCAGGCCTCTCCCTCGCCTCCTCCCCAAAAGACTCACCAGAAACTGGAACATGGTGGCTTCTTTCCCGCCTCTCCTCCGCTTCCAGCCAAAAGGACGCCAGCAACACAGTCTCTTCCGGGTCTGCGCCTTCCAGCCTCACGCACGCTCTTCCCATTGGTCGAGAAGTTTGATGGCTCCTCTAACCAACCTATCCACGATCTTTCCGCCTCTCGCTGGAGAAGGCGTGGTCCCAACGCAGCCTCGTGATCCCATTGCGAAGTTGGGAGGGGGGAAGAGCTCTGTTTACATCTTGCTGTGTTTTGTTTTACACTGTTGTTGTTTGCACCTAAACTAGAAAGAATGCAGTTTGGCACCAATTTATGTGTCATGGCTTACTGCTGTGGAGTCCTGGGAGTTGTAGCTTTACAAGATCTGTAGCCTTCTTGGCCGAAGAGGGCGGGGTCTCCCTAAACTACAATACCCATGATGCCATAGCATTGAGGCATGGCAGTTAAAGTGATGTCACACTCCATTCATTCTGCTGTGTAGTTGCATCCTTGTTTGTGTGATAGGTTCGGAAACAATTTGAAGACACAATAATACATTTGTGTGGTAGGTTTAGAAACAGTTTGAAGACACACAATAACAAATTTGTGTGGTACGTTTGGAAACCATTTGAAGACACACAATAATACATTTGTGTGGTAGGTTTGGAAACCATTTGAAGACACACAGTAACAAATTTGTGTGGTAGGTTCGGAAACAACTTGAAGGCACACAATAACAAATTTGTGTGGTAGGTTTGGAAACAATTTGAAGACACGACAACAAATTTGGTAGGTTTGGAAACAGTTTGAAGACACACAATAACAAATTTGTGTGGTAGGTTTGGAAACCGTTTGAAGACACACAATAACAAATTTGTGTGGTAGGTTTGGAAACAGTTTGAAGACACACAATAACAAATTTGTGTGGTAGGTTTGGAAACAGTTTGAAGACAAACAATAACAAATGTGTGTGGTAGGTTTAGAAACAGTTTGAAGACAATAACAAATTTGTGTGGTAGGTTTAGAAACAGTTTGAAGACAAACAATAACAAATTTGTGTGGTGGGTTTGGAAACAGTTTGAAGACACCCAATAACAAATTTGTGTGGTAGGTTTGGAAACAGTTTGAAGACACACAATAACAAATTTGTGTGGTAGGTTTAGAAACAGTTTGAAGACACACAATAACAAATTTGTGTGGTAGGTTTGGAAACAGTTTGAAGACACACAATAACAAATTTGTGTGGTAGGTTTAGAAACAGTTTGAAGACAAACAATAACAAATTTGTGTGGTAGGTTTTGAAACAGTTTGAAGACACACAATAACAAATTTGTGTGGTAGGTTTGGAATCAGTTTGAAGACACACAATAACAAATTTGTGTGGTAGATTTGGAAACAGTTTGAAGACACACAACCACAAATTTGTGTGGTAGGTTTGGAAACAATTTGAAGACACAATAACAAATTTGTGTGGTAGGTTCGGAAACAATTCGAAGGCACACAATAACAAATTTGTGTGGTAGGTTCGGAAACAATTTGAAGGCACACAATAACAAATTTGTGTGGTAGGTTTGGAAACAGTTTGAAGACACACAATAACAAATTTGTGTGGTAGGTTCGGAAACAATTTGAAAACACGCAATAACAAATTTGTGTGGTAGGTTTGGAAACAGTTTGCAGACACACAATAACAAATTTGTGTGGTAGGTTTGGAAACAGTTTGAAGACACAACAACAAATTTGTGTGGTAGGTTTGGAAACAGTTTGCAGACACACAATAACAAATTTGTGTGGTAGGTTTGGAAACAGTTTGAAGACATAACAACAAATTTGTGTGGTAGGTTTGGACACAATTTGAAGACACACAATAACAAATTTGTGTGGTAGGTTTGGAAACAATTTGAAGACACACAACCACAAATTTGTGTGGTAGGTTTGGAAACAATTTGAAGACACACAATAACAAATTTGTGTGGTAGGTTTGGAAACCGTTTGAAGACACACAACAAATTTGTGTGGTAGGTTTGGAAACAATTTGAAGACACAACAACAAATTTGTGTGGTAGGTTTGGAAACAGTTTGAAGACACACAATAACAAATTTGTGTGGTAGGTTTGGAAACAGTTTGAAGACACACAACAACAAATTTGTGTGGTAGGTTTGGAAGCAGTTTTAAGACACACAATAACAAATTTGTGTGGTAGGTTTGGAAATGGTTTGAAGACACACAATAACAAATTTGTGTGGTAGGTTTGGAAACAGTTTGAAGACACACAATAACAAGTTTGGTAGGTTTGGAAACAGTTTGAAGACATACAACAACAAATTTGGTAGGTTTGGAAACAATTTGAAGACACACAATAACAAATTTGTGTGGTAGGTTTGGAAACAGGAGGGATGAAGCCAATCTTACCTCTGTGGGAAGCGAGTTCCATAGGCGGGGGGCCACAGTTCAGAAGGCCGTCTTTCGTCCCTGCCAGCCGTATTTGCGACGCTGGTGGGAGCGAGAGCAGGGCCTCCCTGGACGATCTTAAACTGTGAGGCGGGACATAGAGTGAGATGCGTTTGGACAAGTAAGCTGGGCAAGAACCTTATAGCACTCTGAATTGAACTCAGAAGTGGATCGGCAACCAGTGGAGCTGGCACAACAAAGGGTGGTATGCTCCCTGTATGTTACTCCAGTTAGTAATCGGACTGCAGCCCATTGGACTAGTTGTAGTTTCTGAACAGTGTTCAAAGGCAGTTCCACATAGAGTACGTTGCAGTAATCTGTTTGGGATGTAACAAGAGCATGGACCACCATAACCAGATCAGACTTCCCAAGGTACGGGCGCAGCTGGTGCACAAGCTAATACAATATAATACTAATAATACAATATAGTAATATAATTATATATTACATATAATATTATTAATAATATTGTAGTATAATGGTACAGTACAGTATAGTCATATATAATACTAATATTGTGCTATGCTAATAATATAATATATTGTATGTACATATAACTTGTAAACCACTTTGAGTCCCCTTCAGGGTGAGAAGGGTGGGGCATAAATGTTGTAAATAAATAAACAATGAGGTGGCTATACATTTCTCTTCTAATCACAGGATGTCTCAGACCTACACCTATTGATAGACTCTATAAACTGGCTGGCATTGACACCCCCCCCCCCCCCCCCCCCCCATGTGTGACAGGCAGTAGCTGCCAACTGTGGGCCCTTCCGCACAGCCATATAACCCAGAATATCAAGGCAGTAAATTCAACAGTATCTGCTTTGAACTGAGATATCTGAGTCTACACTACCATATATTCCAGTTCAAAGTAGATACTGTGGGCTTTTATTCAGCTGTGTGGGCCTAAGAGAGAAATAAGGTTGAATACTGTGCAAGCCACCCACAGCATGGCTATCGGCCTCCTCCCAGTAGAGTCAAATCAAGGAAACGTTTCATGAGAACCACCACTCCTTTTAATGTTTCTCCAGCAACAACAATAATATCCCTCTGGCCAGCTAAACCAGGCAATTCCAACTGGATAGTCCCTGAAGAGATTCAGAAGTGGAGTTGGCAGATCAAAAGGCAACCTGGCAAAATGGCACCACTTTGAAGAGTCCACCTTGGGCAACTGTGAAGCAGAACAACTCACCATCTGTATGCTTGTCCACAATGCCCTGCCTCATGCACAGAGGAAGAACTGTTTAAAGCTACAGACAATGCATTCACTGTTGCCTGTTTTTAGTCTAAAATTATTCAGCCACTTGTGTTCCCTCTATTTTATCAGTTTTATAATGGTTTATTTATGAAATGCTTTTGACACTAAATAAATAAATAAATATCTCTACGGTTTTTCTTTCCTAACAAAATCCACGTCTTTTATTAAAACATTGCATGTAGATATCTCACTATTATGACACACACACACACACAATCTAGGTATATATATGTATACACACAAAGACAGGTTAAGACCTGGTTGTTCGAGCAGGCATTCAAAAAGGCAGTGTAACAAATATCGGAACGGAACGACTACATGACGAGATTGGATCTTGATTTTAACTAAGAGATGCTATGAGTTATGTTGTATTGACTTTGTATTATTGTATATTGATGCCATGGTTTTTAATTGTTTTAATTGTTTTATGATTTTAAGGATTGAATTTTTGCTACTGTAAACTGCTTTGAGTCACCCGAGGGCTGAGAAAAGCGGTATATAAATGGAGTAAATAAATAAATATTGATGCCACTATTGTATGAGTGTACACCTATGCATATATAATATATAAATCCACATCTTTATTAAAAACATTGGAGATTGCATGTAGAGATCTCATTATTACTGTATATGTGTGTGTGTATTTATATAAACATCTCTATAAATGTGTGTGTGTGTGTACATATGCATGTGTGTGTGTGTGTGTATATATATACACACACACACACACATACACATACATACATACATACATACATACACACACATATCTGCATACAGACAGTCCCCAAATTAGGTTCTATAGGTGTTTTCTTAAGTTGAATTTGTATGTAAGTCAGAACAGGTTCATTTTGAAAGTGTCACTCCAGCTCTGTCTGTCTGTCTGTCTGTCTATCTATCTATCTATCTATCTATCTGTCTATCTATCTATCTATCTATCTATCTATCTATCTATCTATCATCTATTCTTTGGATAGTATAGGGAAGGGTTAACACCCCTGTGGTGTTTAGTTTACTGTCTGTGTCCCTGTTCAAAAGATTTCCCCTCACTTTCTGTCCCTGTAATATTTGATTTTGAAAAAAAAATGGCTTGTTGTGGAAACAAGAATTGGTAAAAGCTTCACTTGAGACATCTTTTTCCCCATGATAACTCTTGCAGGAGTGAATACATTTCCCTTCCGAGGATAGATTTCTCCTACTTCCTGATGTCTCAGCCCTGTTTTTAACTAGGAGTTGTTTCTAACTCTGGGACTCTGTGTGTCTATCCACATCTTGATTAAAATATTGGAAATTGCATGTTAAGATCTCACTATTCACTATATATATGAGTGTGTGTGTGTATACTGTGTGTATGTGTGTGTATGTAAATCCACATCTTGATTAAAACTTGTGATTACATGTCAA